TCCCCTGAAATCAGTCCATGTTAAAAAAGTGCTATGGTGGTGTTACATCCATGCTTTGAGAAAATATAAACATCAAACTGATGTGCACAGCAGTGGGGCTGGATGGAATAGAAAGATGCTCAAATGGACAATGGCCAAAATAAAGTAAATTTTTCCTTTTTTTTTTTTTTCACTTTCTCCCTTCTATTCATTAATCAATCTGAAAAATAGATTATATTCTTTATCTAAAATTACTTTCTTCACAAGCAAGCCAAAAAATATATGCATTACAGAACACTGTTTCAATACACATTTATGAAACTCCTCTGACTCCTTTAATTCCTTAACACTGTAAACATACCCTGATATATTTATATGCAGTGGTAGCAACCTGAGATCAGTGCTTAAAAATAAACCAAAGAGGAATTGCAACGTGTGTGTGCGCAACAGACACAGCAATCTCTACTAGAGGCTGAAGAGATGACATTAGAAGGATACTGTCCATTATGCTTATTTGGTTTTAATCCAGATGGCTAAAGCATAAGGTATAGAGAGTCATGCAAATGTGGTGTTTTTTTAAAAATAAACTCAACAGTAATTATCATTGAAGCAACTAGACACAGTCCCACATTACTTTCTAGATGAAATGGCCACCAAAGGTAAGCACACATCTAGCTATCCCCATTCCAAGCACAACCAGTCAGACCCCAAAAAGGTCTAAGGATACCTACCTAAGGATATCTGTTCAAGTATGGTCCCCTCATCATTTGCCCTCCCTCTCTCAGAACACAAGTTTTTGTTCTGCTGAAATCTATGACTAAATTCCAACAGATTGGCAGGACTATGTGACCCCTGGGCTTTGAAAAGCAGATGGCACGAAGGTGTCATCCTGAAGGCAATGGATATCTGCAGTAGCTATAGGGGAAATGTACATATACACATAAAGGGCAAGAGTAAGTAAAAATGTCAGAGGCTTTTTAGTTTGTTATCAGCATATTGGTGGATCTCTCCCTCTCTCATTATCTCTTAAATTCTCCTTTGTGTCAAAAGAAAGTTTTCAGCTCTACTGCTGCATTTTCCTTTACACAATGAAGGACTCCGAATTTTAATTCATTTTATAACAGTTCATTATGGCTTCTCAATTTAGGCACCTGCATCAAATGAATTAGGAGGGAGTGTAATGGTTCCTTTGATGCAGGGCTGTACAACACTAAGCACCAAGCTATAAAGTAAAAGGAAAACAGCTGCATCATCCACAGAAGAAGTCTACATTTGCTTTCAGTAGGTGGGTCGAGCAGAGACTGCAGGAGATGGCACACAGCAAACTAGGTAGAATAAAGGCACAAGGTTTATTTTGCTTGCAAATCCAAAAATCAAGTGATTTCTAGTCATATACCAAAGCAGACAGGAGCAAAATGGCTAACAATGAGAGGTTTTGTAGATTTTAAAACAATACGAGCCAAATGTTTAAAAATCAGCATTTCAGCTACTGGAAAGTTGCCTGCATGGTGGTAGGTCCTAGGAAATTTGCCCATCCATGAGTTCAGTAGCAAAACCAAGCTTCTGGTGGACATGAAGGTTTGAGGAGATGAAAGCTCACAGCCCATGGTTCATGTGAATTGCTACTGCAACAAACTATTAATTATGTATGAATACAGCATTGATGACACTGATGGCACTGCATGCATTTTGACACACAGCAGTCCCCCAAAGGAAGTGTTCTCTAATTGGTTCTATATCCCTCAAAGACAGACGTCTCCTTGGTACCTAGAAAGGAAAATATATAATCCAAGTGGATGCTCCTCTGAGTAAATTTCCTTCCTGATCTCTCAACAGGGCTCCTGCTCAGGACCATACACTTCTTGCTGCAGAACAACCAAGGAGGATTTCTGGTTCTTCCAAAGGCACTTACTGTTTGGCCTGGCAGCACAGAATGCCAAAAAAGACCAAATTTACAGGTCCATATAATTTTCAATAGCAACAGATGGCCCTACAACAACTTCAGCAGGATATTTCCAGACAGAAAAAGAAACCATCTACAGGGCAACTGTGATAGAGAAATTGTATTGTAACAGAGAAACCCATGATGAAAATATATGAGGAATTTTCACTAAATTATTCAAATATAGGAATAAGCAAATCACACTTTATTGGCAGGTCACTGTTCAGTTAGCCAGTACAAATAGCTGCATGTAATAGATTTGTGTTGTTTATACAAATGTTAACATAAAACAGATTAATACATTGTCTGAATTAGAGGACTAAACTGCTCCAATTTAAGGTAAGTATTTGGTAAATCACTGGTGCAGCAATACATGCAGTTATTAAATGCCCTGAAGTCAGACCAAAAGCCAGATGAAAAATTTAGTGATAGAAAGATTGCCTCTGAATTTCCAATTACATTAGTTAATATTAATGATTTCAGTTATTAAATAAATTACCCCAAAATTTTTATGCCATTTTAACCTACTTGTCTCTACCTCAGATAGCATTTACATTTATATCTAACTTCATTTTAACACTGAAGCACCTGAGTAATCATTTCAGCAGCAGGTAAATGCCTAAAAATGCAGCAGTGACTTCTAGCAGGGGTTTTAATCCTTCTCAGAATTCAGATATACCGTAATTTCCACTGTGCAATAAGGCAAGAGAACTTGTGTCCACAATGAAACTACCTTCAAGAGAATATAAACTGATCTAAACCTTCTGTGTATGCACAATCAACAAAACCTCATTTGGAAGCTAGGAAGAAAATGGGCCTTACTTCCCTCTTTCTCTGTTACTTCTCACTAACATTTCAATTTGCAGTCGAATCCTCCAGTTTGGGTGCAAAAGCACTGTATTAATGACAAAGCAGGAGCAGGCAGTATTGAAAACCTTCTAAGTGCACTTGTGTTAGCAGCACAGCCAACTCAAATTTACATATGCAAGAGTATTTGTGGTCTAAACACCATTACTTCAAGGAGCTTTTAAGGGAAAGCTGCCCATGCTGTGGAACCACACACCAGATTATCTCTAGGTAAAGACACAGAGTTGGGCATTTTAGAGGAAGACAGAGTGTTCCAGTACAACCCTAATAAAGGTGGGAAAAAAAATAGCAGACTGAAGGGTGCTCCCAGAAATGTGTTTTCCTGGTATGGAAAAAATAGGCTTTGAACACCACATAACTCACTCATCAGTGGTAGCTCCTCAATCGCAATGTTCTTAGCTGGATTTAGGCAACCTTGAACGGAAGCTTCCAATTCTCCTATCATTTTGTCAAGCCAAACTTCTTTCTTGTGGAAACAAGAAAGCTGGAATTCCTGGAAACAGAATATCTCTCAACCCCATGAGCGTATCTATGCTTAATTAAGAACAATGAAAACTGTGTGCTGGGAAATGTAAATAAATGATGCATCACTTTCACAGGTGCTGGTCTTTGCTTACTCATCAAAAAGGATGAAAAACGTTTGGTTTTCAAGATCTGGACTAGTTTTAAAATGCCAAATTATTTGTTTGGTTGATTCATAGCTGACTACAGCCAGCAGCAGCTAGGTCTTCTCCCACAAGTAGGTAAGAGATCCAACACAAGTTTTGCAGGAAGCACGGCATGTTGGTCAGGGGGTAATTTCACCATAAAGCCCAGAAACCACCTCCTCTCTCTGTGCCTACAAGCACCAGAACTTTCCATGCGTTATGGCCAAAAGCAGCTTGAACCTGAACAGTAAGCATCTAAACCATTCAGGTAGAGCTATATATTTTTATTGAATGATCACCACTGTCTAAAATGACGAGGGAATCATTTGCCGTGTAAGTCAGTCCGACAGGATAAGAAAGCCCATAGCTAATTAGAGGGTTAAACATGGGAAACTCCTCTGGTTTCCCCAAGCATATTACGGCCTGGCTACAGACATCCGTTACTATAACACGACCTTCTTTGTCAAAGGCCACAGCCGTAGCATACATTTTGGAGGGGAAAACGAGGTTCAGACCGAAGCTATCCAGCTGGCCGATGAGATCCATCTCCGCACTGAATATCTTCACTCGGGTGCTGCCCTTGTTCAGTCCTTGAGCTTTCAGGTGCTCTATTACCGCGACAGCCCCCGAGGTCTGGCAGACCGCGACCGCTCTGGGGCTGACGAGCTGAGCCCGGATCATCTGACACTTCTTCAATTCCCCCCTTCCAAAGTCGGCCGTCAGGCGGTAGAGAGCGCCTGCCTCCGAGTCGGTCAGGATTACTTCACTCTCGGGGGTGGCATCCAAGCCCCAGGGCAAACGGAAGCCTTCCCGGACCGCCAGGACCCCCCTTCCCTCAAAATCGAAGGCCTTCACGGAGCGGTCCCCGCCGTCGGTGACCACCACGTGCCCGTCCGACGTGACCGTCACATCGAGCGGGTACTTCACGTCGTTGCCCGCGTCCCCCCTCTCCCCGAACCGCTGCAGGCAGAACCCGCTGGGCCCGAAGACGTGGATCCTCTTCTTGCCGTCGTGTGCCACGGCCAGGCGCCCCGTGCCGCGGCCGCCACCCCGGTGGGGTTCACCAGCGACCCCCAGCCGCCTAGGCACAGCCGCAGCCCGAGCCCCGCCGGGGGCCGGCGCGGCCGACCCTGGGCCGCGCTCCCGCCCAGGGCCCGGGCGAGGCGCCGGCGGGGCCCAGAAGCTCCAGCAGCTGCAGCAAGCGGGCGGCCAGTCGCTGGTCCTCGGCGGGGCCGCAGGGCCGCCGGCAGAAGGGACACTCCAGGCGCCGGCTCAGGGCCCCCCCAGCCCCCGCAACAGGTACGTGCCCGCAGGGCAGGTTGCGCGGCCGCCGCTGCCCGTCGGGGCCCGTACGGGCTCGAAGCACACCCGGCACTCCCAGCAAGGCTGAGCTCGGCCTCGTCCTCGCCGCCATCCCGGCCCGAGACGTCGGACGGATCGCCGAGGGGCCCCGATCCCCCGCGCGAGCGGGCGGGCGCTAGCGCGGCCGAGGCGGCCGCGCGCGCCCTGCGGCCAGCCCGGGCGGGGCAGCGCTGCCGGCGGGACGGCGCCGAGGGGCCGGGCTGCCCGCCCTGCCGGGGTCATCAGCGTTCCCCTGTCCGCCAGAGCATTCAAATATCCAGCAGAATGTTCAAATATCCACCCGAGCCTTCCTGTCTCCAGCGGATTATTCATATATTCATCAGATTATTCATATATCCGCCAGATCCTCACAGACATCCAGTTACCGGGTTACCACACCACTGCTAGTGCTATTTATATCCCTACCAGAGTAAGGAAGTAAGCCACAGCTTCACAGAACCATAGAATGGTTGGAAAGGACCTTGAAGATCATCAAGTTCCAACCCCTCCTGCCATGGGCAGGGGCATCTGCCACTAAACCGTGTTGCTCAGAGCCTTATCCAACCTGGCCTTGAACACTTCCAGGGATGGGGCATCCACAGCTTCTCTGGGCAACATGTGCCAGTGTCAGTATCCTCTGTCAGTTTGAAGCCATTACCCATTGTTCTGTCACTGCATGCCCTCGTAAAACGTTCCTTTCCAGCTCTCCAGCAGGCCCTTCAGATACTGGAAGGCGCTATAATGTCTCCCTGGAGCCTTCTCTTCTCCAGGCTGAACAACCCCAACTCTCTCAGCCTGTCTTCATAGGAGAGGGGCTCCGTCCCTCTGACCATCTTTATCATATTTCTCTTGCTGTTCTGGAAAACTTTAGAAAACACAATGAAAATATTTACATTCATCACTCGTGACACCTTTCTCAGACAAGTAAATATACACGTCTTGTAAGGTACAATGAACAGCGTGTGCTTGTTCTGCAAGGTGTATTACGGTGTTTTCTCAGAGTAACTGCAGGGTACACACACATGGCAAAGGCATCTTACACATCCCAAAATGGCTCATTTGGCACATGGCATTGCTCTTGCCAGATTGTCACATGAGAGTCCTGCACAGGACATCACAGAGCATGCAGCAGCCTCATGTCAAGCACCTGGCCTTCTGAGGCTATCATGTGTCTGGAAGTCTGAGATAAAATTCAGCAGCTCTCACGTTGCATCTAGAAAAAAATTTCTGGATTCAAAGAAAGGAGATGCTTTATCCTGGTAGCTGCGGTAGTGACCAGAAGTGAAAACATACAAAAATAACAGCTCTGAGCTTGCCCTGGCCCACTGGCTACATCTCTTCTCTCTGTCGACCTGACCTTGAAACATGAGTATCTACAAGCAATATCGAGTGTTGCAATGGGCTGTAGGCGTGAGGACTGCTGTGCTAAAATCATTAGACCCATTTGCAGCTCTAGGACTACAACAGTCTAAAAAACCTCATGGCTTTTACTTCTATTCTTGATGAATACACTACATTGCAATCATACTTTCCTTTCAAAACAAGCTGCAAAGGGGAGAAGTTCCAGTACTCTGTCACCCTCAAAGTAGAGAAGTTTTTCCTTATATTCAGATGGAACTTCCTGTGTTTCAGTTTGGGCCTGTTGCTCTTTGTCCTGTTGCTGGGAAACACTGAAAAGAGTCTGGTCCCATCCTCTTGACACCTGACATTAAAGATATTTGTAAGCATTAATGATCTCCTCTCAGTTTTGTCCTCTTCAGGATAAATAATCCCAGCTCTCTCAGCCTGTTCTCATAAGAGAAATGCTCTAGTCCACTAGGCATCTTCATAGCCCTCTGCTGGACTCACTCCAGTATGTCCAGGTCTCTCTTGTACTGAAGAGCTCAGAACTGGACAGAGCACTCCAGATGTGGCCTCACCAGGGCTCATTAGAGAGGCAGGATCGCCTCCCTTGACCTGCTGGCCACAGTCTTTCTAATGCATCCCAGGAGACCAGTGGCCTTTTTGGCCACAAGGGCACACTGCTGTCTATCTTGTTGACCACCAGGTCATTCTCCGCAGAGTTACTTTCCAGCCTGTGCTGATGCCCGGGCTTATTCTTCCCCAGGTGCAGGACCCTGCACTTGCCTTCACAGAGATTCACTAGGTTCCTCTCTGCTCAGATCTTGAGCCTGTCCAGGTCTTGCTGATGGCAGCACAGCACTCTGCTGTGTCAGCCACTCCCCCAGTTTTGTATCATCTGCAAACTTACTGCAGGTATGTTCTGTCTCTTCATTGAGGTCATTGATGGATAAGCTGGACATGGCTGGAGCCAGTACTGAGCCTTGGGAACACCGCTTGCTCCAGCCTCCATCTAGATTCTCCACAACACTCTGAGCTCTGCCATTCAGCCAGTTCTCAATCCACCTCACTGTCCACTAACTCAACCCACACTTCCTGATCTTACCTATGAGGATGTTATGGGAGACAGTGTCAAAAGCCTTGCTGAAGTCCATGTAGACAACATCCACTGCTCTTCCCTCATCTACCCAGATAGTCATTGCATCATAGAAGGCTATAAGTCAAGCATGATTTCCACTTGGTGAATCCATGTTGACTACTCCTGATAACCTTCTTTTCCTCCACATGCTTAGAGATGACATCCAGGATGGGTTGTTCCATCACCTTTCCATAGATTGAGGTGAAGCTGACTGGCGTGCAGGTTCCTAGGTCCTCCTTCTTGCCCCTTTTGAAGACTGGAGTGACACTGTCTTTTCTTCAGTCCTCAGGCACCCCTCCTGTTCTCCACAACCTTTCAAAGATGATGGAAAATGGCTTAGTAATAATACCCACAGCTCACTTGGCACTCTTTGAACCCTCTCACCCTACAAGCCCTGTGCTGGTTTGCCAGCTCATAGCTGTGCTCTTGAGTGAGGGAGCAGCACACTTTTGAACAACTGCCAGGACATTTTCTCCTCATACTCTCCCCTTTACTATCACCCAGTTTGCTTCCCTCCAGTCTTCCTTGCTTGATGGTAATTCCCCTTTGGCAGCTGCTGCCTTGCCTTGCCTGCTTACTGCCAGGTCTTCACTGGACTTATATTCACAACTAACAGGGACATAAAGTAGCAGTTTCCCACCTCTCTTGCCCAGCTGCCCAGTCTGGTGCAAGGCCAGCATTGCAGAAAACAGTGTTTGAACAGCAGCTGGCCACTGCTCCCAGGGCTGCCAGCTGACGAGGCTGATCCACAGAGTGCTGGGCAGACAGCGGCAACAGCCAAAAAGGAACAGGAATGTTTCTTTCTCCCAGCTCAGATGATTTGAATTGATACGTAAGAAAAAGATATACTTTAATAATGCTTGTTTGTGCATGGAGTTTAAGGAAATCTGTGCACATATCAAGGCAGTGAAGGCAGCTGTGTAGAAGAGCTGACTTGGTAAGAAAAATGGACAAAAATGTTCCACGGGTATTTTTCTGTACACTAGAGCCTGCTTTAAGAATGCCCCATTTTAAAATGTGAGATAAAAATAAAAGGAAGATGGGAGGCAAGTTATTTTAACTAATTTTAATCAAGCTACAAACTTTAGCATATATAGCACCTCCAGAAAATAATCTAATCCCCATTGTTTGTGCTTTTCTGAGAAGTCATCGACTTTTTCAAGACACTGAATTTCACAGCAGCTGCCTGAAAAGGAGGAAAGAGTAACAAATTAGTGAATGATTAGTTACTGAAAAATGAAAACTCTTCAGAAAAAAATAAATCTTATCCACAGATTTCCTTACAGTCCTTAACATAGTGACATAAAGGCATTTGAGAAAACTTATCTGTCTCTTTTGCACTGGGATGCAACTGTCTTTACCAATGACTCACTGCACACAAACACTGCAGGAGTCTCAAAAAGTTATAAATTTAAAAGTGCAATTTTAAAGCATATCAGAAGGAACTTTTAAAATTAAAATCCTGCCATAACTCCAACATTCATTATTTTGATGGATTTGAGTTGTATGTTTTTAGCATTTTCTTTGTGTAGCATGTTACTTTTTTTTCTTTGTCACAAAAGTACAGCAGAAGATGTAGCACTGGTAGGCCTTATATTAAAACCAGTGCAGCTGGTTGATGAGGTGCAGACAAAGACAAAATGGTCAAGTGGGACTAAGACAGCATCTACAAGATCACTGAGTGCAGTATGAATCCTGGGAGAACAAAAAGATGCCATAGGGAGACAAGAGTCTCCTTGTCTCTTGGGTTTTCTTCATAGCCTTTGGAAAGCTGAGAATTTTCCTTGACTGCAAAATCCCTGTGGCTAAATGGTATTTATTTTTCCTGGTATTTTTCCATGACTCCAGCCCTTAGATAAGAAGCAAATGACTGTATCACTCGTCACAGGTAGAGGCAAAGTAGAGGCATATAAACACATTTACCCATTTTGGAAAAAATTCCTAAGGGTTAGCTGAAATATTACTTACCAAACAAGCTTTTAATTTCAGATTCAGGAACATAAAATGGTGGGCCTGAAAAAAAAAGGGGTGAAGCTAATCAGACAGAAGACGCTGGAAGAAGACAAACATTTACACTGCAGTGGGAGAGCCAGCCCCTTCACTCACAACACCTGGCCTGTAATTGGGCCCCAGGATATAGCACCATCAGCAACAACCAGAAAACAACATGTCCAAGAACTTGTGACACCTTGGTGGGCCACCAGACAGCTTCAGGTGTTGCTGCTGCATCATCTCCAGCTACAACCAGGGAATCTTGAATGTGATGTGGATACAACACTCTCAGTGTTGAATCACACTCTCAGCTGTGTGAATCTAGCCTACAATCTCTTTACACTACAATGGCATAATTAAAGCTAAAAGTTGAACAATGCAAGAGGGAAAGCAATGAATTAAACTATTGTTGCCTATGAAAACAAGACCTAATTTTTTCAGGGATAATTATGTTGAGGGGCCCAAAAGCAGCAAGAAATCTCTTTCTTTTGCGTGTTAATATTAACAAAAATATAATCTTTAAAAATACCTCACACTTCAGTATATAACATAAAAGGAAAGAATACCTTATGATTTTATAAAATCCCACCTCTTCCAAGTATATTCAGAGCATGGTAGTGGCTGGGAGAGAGGCACAATATGGGCAACACGTTTGGTTGCGAGCATTGGGTAAACAGCGCAAAGCTGATATTCTTGGTAGTGTTTCAAGCTCCCTAGGCCAGACAGGATGTTACTAAGTATTCACACTTCCAGCTTCATTGTCACAGCCACACTTCCAGTTTCATTTTATTGTTAATATACCATGTCTGTCCTCAACTTACCCTTAGCATGTCTGAACTCTAGAGAGAACCCAAATATAGTCTCAAGCTTGGTTAACATCTAAAATTTTTAACATACAGTTATACTGGCGTGATCAGCTAACAAAGCTATAGAGATAAAAAACTTGGAGAAGATACAAATATATATATTACACCTATCTACAATTTGTATTAAAGCACACAAAATCATAATGTGAACAGCACAAAGCTCTCACCTTTGTGTTTGTTTGGATCATATGAAACCGTAACAAGGAGATAAGAAGAATTCTTCTCCATTAAGTTGATCATCAAACTGGCATAGCTAAAAGGAGAAAGTTATACTTTATTATTTTTGTAAAGCATTCAAGCATAGCACTCAAAATACTCAACAAAAGAGGCAACATGCACTTCTGTGCATTTGAACTGAACTGCACAAAGACTAAACAAAGTTTGAATTTCAGGAGCATGAAATTCATGCTACACATGGAAAACCTCAAAGGGTTATGTTTACTCCTCACAAACAAGCATTTATCCTTTTTTTTGCATATTCAACTCAAAACTAACAGACAAACCAAGTATTCACCTGTCACAGTCTAGAATACAGTGCACAATACAGTAATGATCTTTTAAAATTATTGTGAACTCAAGATTATGTATCTAATTAAAAGATCATGGGAGTAGGTTCAAACTAAATTTGGGTTAGCTATAGGCAAGAACGAAAATTTGGAATCAAGGGAAGTGAGAAGAAAAAGAACACAGAGAAGAGAAGCAGATGTGGTGAAAGGGAAATAATAGAATTCAGATGAGACTTGCAACTCTGCTTCTAATTGGTCGGAACAAACCACATATTTTCCCACCAAGAGGCAGAGTGGCTTCCTGAAGGAAGTTCACAAATCTAGAGTATGACATTCTGTGACTGCAGCAGATGCTTGCGGTAGAGAAAAACTTGTGTAGGTTGTCCTTTAAACGAAAGAGGACTCATCAACAAGTGGCAGTAGGAAAAACTTGTGGCTGCATGCAGCAGAATAAAGACAATAACAATGCAATTTACTAACCGTTGTCTGTCACATGGATTCACAGCTACAAGAGCTCCTCTGTCCCAAACTCCATCGAACTTACCAACTATTGAGCTACAGGGAGATAAAGAAAAGGTTTAGAAATAGTAAAAAGGCATCTTCATCTTTGATCAGATATCTTTGTGAAGTCACAAGGATGCAGATTCCCCACTAGCTTTTTGTTATGGTGCAGCATTTTCATGATCCACACTAAGGTGATCTGGAACACAAAAAACCTCCCTGGTACATGGCCTTGCAATAGTAAAAAGGTGCTGGAACTGGTCGGTGTTTCCCCATCATTAGAGGGTGCTGAGACAAGGCAGGGAGGAAGGAATGTAGTTTTAACATGTTCAGGCAACCCATCTCAGTGTTTGGTAATCACACCCTGCTGTCACCCTTGAAGTAATACTAACATGTACTCAGCACATCAACAGTTCTTTACCACCGTCTAAAACCCATGCATGATTTCAAACGCAGGCTAAGGAAGGTGCCTTACTGCTTTAGTATCATTGAACTAAGCACATCCAGTAACTTTAGACACCTCAATTCCCAGCTACATGCCCAGGACAGTTAGCTTCAGCTTTCAATTTGTTTGATGTTGGAAAAGGTAAGTTACACTGCTGTTTGCCTCAGTGTAACACTATCACTGACATTAATTTTGCTTCTGGTTATGCTGGCAGATGGCTTCAGTGACCACCCAAAACCTGCAAGTGGGTAAGACTATCAAGAAGTGCCTTTATTGAGGGGTGGTAAGAGCAGTCAGGGTGACCCTAAGATAAGAATATTTGGGGCATAAGAAGAGCCTTGTTTCTGGTAATTATTAAAAAAGGAGTTTAGATAATAAGGTAGTAATAATGTAAATTGCATAACTTTAAGGAAAGTTTGAATAGGTTTACTTAGTGAGAAAAATATGGCATGGAATTGTGCAATACCTTTTGGCCTACTGGGAAGGTGTCAGAGTCCAATTGCACCACCTCTGCCTTCACTTGTGTACTGGTTTTGGCTGGGGTAGAGTTATATTTCTTCCTAGTAACTGTCATGGGGATATGTTTTGGATTTGTGCCGAAAATAGTGTTAATAAGACATGGCTGTTTTAGCTACTGCTGAGCAGCTCTTACACAGCATCAATGCCTTTTCTGCTCCTCACACCATGACACCATGATGTGAGTAGGTTGGAGGTGCACAAGAAGCTGGGAAAGGACACAGCTGAGACAACTAACCCCAACTGAGCAAAGGGATACTCCAGACCATATGTTGTCATGCTCAGCAAAAAAACCTGGGAGAGAAGCTGCAGGGGAAGGAGGGGTCGCTGCTTGGGGACTGGCTAGGCATCAGTTGGTTGGTGGTGGACTACTGTTTTCATTTGCACTACTTGTCTTTCTAGGGTTTTATTTTCCTCTCTCTTTGGTCATTGTTTGTTTTTTTTTTTTTTTAATTTTTCTTACAATTTCTTTTTAAAATTTATTTTTAATTATTAAACTGTTTTTATCTCAACCCAGAAGTTTCTTTTTCACTTTTACCCTTATGATTGTCCCTATCATCCCATGACAGGGGCAGTGGGCAAGCAGCTGTGTCGTGCTTAGCTGTGAGCCAGGGTTAAACCACGACAACTTCTCTCTGCTCACTGCTATTTTCATTGCAATGGCATTGCTAAGTCTCTGGCATCTAACCTAGAAGCTGATCCTATATTTCCCACTCTACTGAGATGAGACATGATAACACTTTTAAGTGCTGATTTCTTTTAAAGTTTGCCAAGTCTAAGCATCTAATTTAAATAACCACCTCCTTAACTGAAGGGAGATTTTTAAGGAGACAGTTAAACAAGCAATGGACCTGTGGAGCACAAAGGGAAGTCTAGTGGGGCAGGTGACAAACTTGATCTTCTGAGGCTTGGAGGCTGTTCTCCTCTCTGCATAGACAAGTCTGCTGCATGACCTCAGGCCAGCCACTGAAGTTTTCTGCACTTGGTTTTTCTTCCCAACTTTAATCTGGTCTAACTGGAATGGTGGCGGTGGCTCCATACAGGCATTTCATGTATTCTACTCCCCACAGATTTCATCAGGGCCTACAGTCATCACAGGCTGGAGGCAGGCTCATGCTGTGGCCTTGCCCCGATCTCCTGGTTGCCCAGATCTCAGGACTTGCTGAGCATCTGGGTGCTCCTTGCCCATCTGCACATCTGTAGTTAGGTACTATTACAACTAACAAAATTTAACACACAAATCAGAAATTCACATATTGGTGGAAAACCCACTGGATTTAAGGAATAGACTTGTGAATTTATATCTCTGCATATGTTTAGTAGTTTCAGTCAATGCCATTTTTTTACTTTTTTTTTTTTTAAAGTCTTGTAGCCATAATTGTATTGGGAGGTACAATGGTTGTGTAATATAACTGTTTTACATTCGTCCCAGAATTCCCACAAAGAGCAGTAATTCCTGTTACTGTTTAACTAGCAAGAGTCTATGAAATGACCCATTCTGACAAAAGTCAGAAGCACATCTGAGTTCTCCTCTAAAGAATGCTAGTCTAGCGGAGATCAAAAGGACCTGTTAATAGGCCAAGCTCAGCAAGAGAGAAATAAGTTTAATTTCCATAATTACTGGGTAATTAATCAAATTTTCTGTGCACAGAAATTGGAAGAGTGTGTGCATTTTTCTAGTTATGGGTATCTGCTGACTGCTTAGGGAATGCAGTTCATTCTGCATGCCAGAACATCAATCTGCCAATTTATTTTGTCAACGAGAAACTGTGTACTGGATCTAGTAATATGCACTGAAATTGTCACTAATTACCTAATTTTGTTCATTTCAAAGTATAATTCCACCATGTTGTGATGGAAGTTACAAGTTTCACCACACTACTTGCTACAAAACTTATAATGGAATTTTTCAAAAATTTCTGAGAAGCTTAAGCAATCCCTGAGAAACTTGTCAACTCATAGCAAGAATGATTTATAGGGATCTATGCAGCAGTAGCTACACTGCAGGGGCAAGGTAGGGGAGAAATCAGGCAGTATCTACAAAGTCATGTTCATATACAGCCCTTTTTTTCCCAGGCACTCACTTTGCAGGCCTAGTTACACATACACTACTCAAACCAAATTGAGTCAGCTGCAGGAGCAGAAGTCTTAGTAAAGGTTCTAGGGTCTGAAACACTTTGGACTCTAGTAATGAACGGTCTTTTTTTCCAATTTATGCAGATTGAGGTAAAAAAAAAAGGATTGTATAGTAAACACCATGTTCTGGTGTCCTAAACTACCTATTAAGCCTGTATATCTACTAGCTCTGGAAAGCCCATTGAAGTAAAGATTAAGACTTGACCTCCTTCTTTTTACATGGAACAAATTCTTGTTCCTGACAGTTGTTTGTAAGAAAAGCAAATCAACACAAAAAACTTCACCAAAATCTTATAATCTAGGGAAAATCATGTCTGAGTAAGAAGTGCAAGAGGAGGGAACTATCATGCTAAGACACCTCTGGGTATATTCTCTTTACTTATACAAAGTTACTCTGATAAAGGGATAGTGCTACTGTTTTGCACCACAGAATTCATCAATAATGTCAAAGATAATTTGGTTTTACTGTAAAAGCAAACATGTCTTTCTATAGCTTTGAAGCCAGACAAGGCCCAGAAAACAAGCAGAATCAGAATATAGGTAGAGAATATAAGTATAGGTCAGAATATAGGTATAAACAAGAGCATGAAGAACCTTGCCAATACTTAGCTAGGATGCACTGCCAGAACTTAGAGATAGAGATTAAGTGGTACCGTACACTGGAAAAATGCACACACACCCAACCTAAGTAAGATAAGGGGGCAAAGTGGAGCTTGAGTCCAAGAATCTTGCCAAATTCACCATGAAGTCTGCCAAAATCAAGAAAGTTGAAAAGTTCATGAAGATGATAGAGCCTGGGCCAGGGGCTGATAAGGATGAAGAACAGGAATGACCCTCCTAGATTCTCCCCAGAATGAAGACCACGCCCCTGACTCTGCCTAGACTCCGCCTATTATGAATATTATAATCAGATGTTGCAATTATATGAATATGTATGTGGAAATGTTGCAATCACCTGTAGAAATGGTATAAAAACCTGTAAATTCACAGGAAAGGCAGAGCAGATTTGTACAGCGCGAGCTGGCTGCTCTCCAACGTTGCCAATAAATATACCTCGCTGCTTAAAGACTAAAAATTGTCTCTGAGCAGTTTTCTGCACCTTCCTGGGGGCATTTATTGGCATCAGCTTTCACAGAATGGCTTAGAACAAGAAGCCCATTTAAAGATAATTAGTTGGCATCCCTAATGGTCAACAACAGAGTTAAGTTTCTGTTGGAGACTGGCTATTTACATTTATCATACAAATTAATGGAAGTTTTCTTGAGACAACCTGACAAATCTTTATGTCTGATTCAAGTAAAATAATGGTAGTATTATGACAGTACTAATGCATGTTCTATTATAGAGAATTGTAAAACACAGTGTTTTCCTACCTGGACAAATCATAAATACTGCAGCAGTACAGGGAAATGTTGCCAGAGGTACTCTACAATAAAAAGCAAAGGAAACAATACTTATGAGCAAACTATCTTTAAATATGCATGCATAAGTATTTATTTATACTTTATACCTTAAAACATACACATATATTATTTTTAAATATACACTTACGTGTAATGAGGGAAAACTGTAAGAAATATTTTTTGCTTTAATTTACTGAGGTAACTCTCCTATCCCCTCCAGAGAGGTTCTAGCCTATCAAGACATGCAACTGTCCAATTTTAAAATAATTCCCTTTACATTCCCTCAGGTGCTTCAGTATCATAAGAAAAGAAGGCCAAAGTTGTAAGTTCAAACAAACAACTTCTCAGTCCAAAATTACAACTCAGAGCTTCCCTTCAGACCTCTTCAGGAGAGGTGAATAATTACTAGTAAAATAGAGGCATAAAAGCAGAACAACTTGTTTGCTCAGTTATGCCTGCATTGCATGATTAATGACACCAGATCATTTGATAATGCAGGAAACATACCTGGAACATTTTTCCTCCTGAAATCTCTGGGACTGGCTCCTCACAATAAGGCAGACTGTGTTCTGAAAAAAAATCCTTCAGTGCTTGTTCGCTTACTTCCACACCAACAACGTTGTGTCCCATGTCTGCCAGCCTGCACACAGAAGAGAGAGGTGCCAAGTTAACATGAGGCCCACAGGTCGGGCCTTTACCAAATGTGTCTCTCTCATGCAGCATTTATTGACAAGGGAAACCCTGGTTTTAGGATGCACTGGTATGCCTAATCCTGACTTTCTGGACCATTCACGTTATATTGAACACCTCCCCTCCATGATCTGAGCTTAAATTGGCACTCCTTGACATATAGTTGACAAGGACTTAGAGGCTTTATTTAAATTGAATGAAGTATTAATTTATTTCTATGGATTCAATGAAAACAGGTGGTCACAGAGAGAAACTGTCCATTTACAAAACGTGTTCTGCTCTGAACTATGGCAGCTGAGGCACGTTGTCCACCTAGCTGGCTCTGTGGCTTGGCAAGAACAGCCAGCGAGGGAGGTGTGGTAACCTCTGCACTGCTGCAGCTCAGTGCAACAGCAACATATGTCAGAGCCAGCAGTCAGCCTGGAAGGTAGTGACCGTGATAAAATCTGATAACTGGGACTAACTGGATTCCTTGAGGATGCAGCTCAGTCACAGTTTTTCGGTTTGTGCCACCCTCTCCAAGAAAAAAACACTGGCTTATATAGGCCCTAATTAAAAAAATAAACCTCCCCCCAAAAAAAAGGTAAAAAGGAAAATAATAAATATAAAAAAAGAGGAAGTTATATTTAGCCCAAATCATTTAAATTCCCAGCATGATATGCTACATGGTCTCTTGAAAATGTGCTCTGGCACAACCAACCAATTTAAGATGGAATTGCTACCAAAACCAGCAATGGTAAGGACTTCAGTCACTCTGTCTGTCATAAATTCAGCATTCCCCAAGCTGAACTTGGGACAATGAGGAGCACTTTCAGGTTAATCCTTATCCATCCCGTTTATGCTACTATACAAAACACCAGCAAATAAAACCAAACTTCCTCCTCCCTTCAGCTTCCAGTGACGCTGCTTTCCTACCAGTGGAGATGTGGCACATTTCCATTGGCCAGTATAAGGTTGGGAATTCCCCCTCTCCCTCCCCATATCAAATGAGATTTTTGCTGTTGTAATCTGTGTTTTACCATTTCATCTCTACTGCTTTACCACAAAGTGGGAAAAATATCCTCAGTCCACTCTTGCCATTTAAAAGAACATCCAGATACTTCTGGAGGAGCCTGCAGAAGAAGACACATTTTACTTAACTCTGCAAGTATTTGTGCTGACACATTAAACACCAAGTGCTACACGCTGTGGCAGGTAGCACAGAAACTGCATGATGCAACACAGGTTCTTAGCTCAACCTGCTTCATGCCATTAGAAATAAAAACATTCACCTCCCATTTACTTAGAAAGTAAATTTCATTTCTGTCAGAAATTAGCACATTTATGGTTGTTCTATTTTCTGTTTGTCTTTTCAAGTAAGCAGACCAACCCACCCACCTCTAAGAGGGCCGTAACAGAGATTTTTAAACAGAATGATTATTGAACTTCTGTATCAATCAAGTCATTCCCACAGGACTTGAAAGACTATATAATCAGGTTTGCTTTCTTAGGTCCCTGTTTTCCAGTGCACAGCAGTTGCTCCGATGCCCTC